CTGTTCTTCAGCAATGATTCTGTCGGCATATGGTTTAAGTCGGTTCAATATGATCTTGAGCATGACCTTGCTTGGATGGCTTATTAGGCTAACTGTGCGATAGTTTCGGCATAGCTGTATGTTACCTTTTTTGGGGAGGGTGACGATGAGTCATTGTTTCCATGGTTTGGGCCATTCTCCTGTAAGTCAGATTTTGTTACAAATATTGAATAGTGCACTTATCATTCCTTCTCAATATAAGCTGTTATAATTTCAATAAAATAGAGAGTTTTTCCTTTGGAACTATAATTTTTTTTTAGAAAATGGTCCGTCGCTGTTAGTAAATACATTTATGTTTGATATAATTACAAAAGCAGATAACGTGATCTCAAATGAAATGTAAGCAACATACTAAACGACACAATTACAAATAGTTAAAGTAAACAAGTAACCTGACTATACATTCTATCATAAATCCAAAGTATCCTTTTACTAAAAGTATCCAGCAAAAATTTCACTAATAAGCAAAAGAAAAGCTGTATCTTATAAAAAATTGTGTAAATATAAATCCTTTTGAGAGTAGGTCTTATTGATAAGAGTAAAGCGTAAATATATTTTTATTTGCAAGAGATAATATTTTTTTTTAATTGTGTGCTATGATGATGTGCAAGTATTCTGTGCTAGAATGTTAATCATGCACATGACACCGATTTATCATAGGATACTAATTTTATGCTTTCGAAACAATGTTGTAGTAATATTTTATGAATAATGAATAACAGGAGAAAAAGAAACAATTTTCGGAGCGGGAGAAGATTTCATTTTTTTTAGTACAGTGAGAGTTAACGGAATATTTTGCATGTAAGAAGAAATGTTCCATTTTCTAATGGACTATTGACTTCATATTAGACGGGATATTATTTAAAGTGTGTGCATCAATATTATCTGCATTGCAGCTATGATTGTTACAACGTTATCCTGATATTAAGGAATTATTTCTGGTTCTGGTTCTGTTAATGTTTCGTTACTGCATTCATGTACTGGCATCTTTGCAACGTTTGGGGATATGATGTTGCTATTCTAAAAGCTCCTAGCTGATGCCAGGGCAGCCTTGAAGCTTTCGACCTATGTTGAGTTCATTAGTGGCATCCTTCCGGTGGTTCAATGCTATTATTGTGCGTGGGAAGAAAGATTGTTGATACTGCACTGTATTGCACTGAGGCACTTTGAAGCAGTTGCTATTATTTCGGGTTTAATTTTTTATGGGGATGCTAGTGGTGAAGTCAGTGTTCAGGGAGCGTTTTGCTCTGATTAGTCTACCCGGCTTCTGAGGGTGAGGTACGTGCCGGCTGGGATGGTCGGCACTAGTCCCACTTTATATAAGAATATCAGGCGGAGTCCCTCTCGTCTGGGGGGGGGGGGGGGGGGGGGGGGGATGTCTAATCTTTTTAAGAGGCCAGTGACCAAGCCAGGAGTTGTCGATTTGTAGTCGCGAGCGATAAAACGCACCGCGTTACGTTGAATTCGCTCCATCGTGTCCACGTCTTGCCTAAGGTGTGGGTCCAAGTGATCGCACCATAGTCCAGTAGTGGACGGACAAGTGCGAGACAGGCATTTCGTTTGCAGGAAGTTGGGCAGTGTCAGTTTCGGATGAAACGTAGGGTGGAGTTGGCTTTTTTTTAATTTTGTATATATTGGATGACCATTTTAGATTATTTGAGAAGAGAATTCCAAGGTCTTGACTATTGGATACTTGTTGGAGGATTGTCTCTTTTAGTGTATAAATATGAGTTCATGTATATTTCGTCTTGAGAGTGTAAGAGTGTAGCATTTGGTTTCATTAAATCTCATTCCCCATTTGTCCGTCAAATTAATGAGGCACTTCAAATCTGTTTGGAGGTGGTTGTGGTCATCGTAGCTGTTTATCTCTCTGTAGACAAGACAGTCATCGGCCAGCAGCCGCACTTAAGAATTTGCTGTGTCGGGTAGGTCGTTTATGTGACAGAGAAAGAGAAGGGGGCCCAGCACTGTGCCTAGTGAAACTCCTGTCTCTACGGTGGCTTTCCCTGATTGGACCCCGTCCACCACTACTTGCATGGTACTTTGTGTTAGGAATTTTGAGAGCCTGGAGTGAAGTTCGCCTGTAATGCCGTAGTGGTGGATCTTATGTAGAAGAAGGTTGTGTGGAACAGTGTCGAAAGCCTTGGAGAAGTCGAGAATAGCCATCTCGGCCTGGGTACCTTTGTCTTAGGAGGCTAGAAGGTCATTGGTAGTGATGATTAATTGAGTTTCCGTTGAGAATCCAGAGCGGAAACCATGATTTGACTTGTTAGTATATGTAATAAAATGCATAAAATATAATTCATTAGCACATTGCTGCTTTTTAAGTGAGAGAAAAGGACAGTTTTTGCTGAGTGGAATGAATTATTTAATGAGTAGCGGAAAGACAGAGATTATATTGAGCTCACAGTATTAGTCAACATTTTACAAGTATTCTTTTTGAATCACAAGTGCGATCATCCACAAAAGTAAACAATGTCAAAAATGTTTTATTCGCTTACTCTTGCACTAATATAAAAAAAAAAAAAAAGATGTCTTCTTCGCTTCAAAAATAGATCCTTTTTCTCTTGTTATTCGTTCATCTCATTATATCACTGCTACATCGTGTCATGAGGATAAATATTAGTGTCGTGTAAAAAAAATCTTTTCGTTTACATAATGAATACGGTATGTTACAATGTTGTGATAGGATGTTGTGCTAGGATGTTGTGCTAGGATGTTGTGCTAGGATGTTGTGCTAGGATGTTATGCTAGGATGTTGTGCTAGGATGTTGTGCTAGGATGTTTTGGTAGGATTTTGTGCTATGATTTTGTTCTAGGACGTTGTGTTAGGATTTGGTGCTAGGATTTTGTGCTAGGATGTTTTGGTAGGATGTTTTGCTTAGGATTTTGTGCTAGGGTGTTAGACTATGATGTTTTCTCTAATTTTGTGCTAGCATGTTGTGCTAGGATGTTGTGCTATCAAGTTGTGCTATGATGATATGCTAGATTGTTGCTTTAGGTTGTTGTGCGATTTTAATTGGCTTAGATATTGTATTAGGTTGTTGTTTTAAGATCTTGTGCTAGAATTTTGTGCTAGGATGTTGTTCTATTCGAGCATTCAAAATGTGAAAGGGGTTACAAATAAATCCCCCAAACTGAAAAAACTAGACCTTACACCTCTCGTTAAATCTACTTTACCATAAAGAGAGCCCGCTACACATGGATGAAAAACAATCTAATTTTTTTTCAAAATTGAATGCGATTGCAGTCTGCTGTTTAAAAGGCTTTTAAGCGTGCCAATATTCACATATGCTCTTGACTACATCCTATGAATTTAAGGTTAAAAATAGAGAGAACCAATCCAAAGACCATACACACTTTTTTTACAAAATCTATACTCTTAAATGTATGGGTTCAATCGGTAATAAATATACTAAATTAGACTAAAATTTAGAACTATATGTTTGATTAAAATTAAAATTTAATCAATTTTATATTTAAAAAAAAACAATTAGACTACACCATTTCTTACGTCTTTTAATAAGTTTACATTTCTGGATGTCCATCTGTTTCTGTTTAAATAGTGTGGTTCAACGTTGTTAATCTTTTAAGGACATTTCATTTTATCGGTGTTATAAGTAAATTAATGTGAACACCATGATTTGGAAACTTCGTAAGTGGGAGAACTTTTAGAATAAAAAAATGTTAAAAGGGTGGGTGTCTCCACCTTGTGTGGAAATAATCCTAGCTACGTTACTGAATAAGACATTTTTTAATGGCAGCTCATGTTCATTTTACTTTTCAAAAATTCACATTATGGTAGGCATTTTGCAATCAACAAACAACCCCCCCCCCCTTTCAACACACAGTTTCTTGCCAAAAAAAGAAATACAAATGGAAAAATAACACTTATTTATTAATTGCTAGATAATCTTCTAACCGCTGACGAGAAGTCATGCTCGAACGATCAAACACACCGGTCCCGATCTGCCAAATACTATTTTTATGCCTGAATTTTTCTCTGTTTGGTCAATTCAAATGTCAACACACCATCAATGCGTTATGTCGCTCAGTTCAAAGGTCACGAAGGGAAATCTTGATACGTGGAGAGCTAAGGAGGAAGACAGGTAAAGAACACAGTTCAGTATTCAATGTTGTATTTGCATACACATTTGTCTTTGAATAGAGGAAGAAAGTCGCTTGCAGGCCTTACTCAGTACGAGCAGATTGGGCTGTTTCGAATACTCTTACTCGTTTTGAATATGATTGTTAAACCATCAAAATATGGCTTTGAAAATATTTTTTTTTTAAACTTTTCAAAAAAATATAAAGAGAATCTAAGTTTTCAATAACTATATGATAAAATCTAAACCTTATCTTTAATAAATTATGTTTTTACTAAAGAAGCATACACAGGTTTTTCCCTTTTATTTCCTTCACGCACCGACATATATTTTTAAAAAAATACTGTTAAATACTTAATATTTCTACCTGTTGCGTTTATTCCTTGACTTATGATGACATACAGACTACCTACATATTTTATAAAATTTAATAATAATAATTTCAATTACAATAAACAAAGCTAATAAAATACTAAGTTATAAGTTTGACATGTACTCCATTTTAAGTCTGTCTGTCTAGTAGACAAGTTTCAAAATTATACCCGGAACCAGTGTCCGATTCAATCAGTATAATTTCTTTTTCTTTGGCTTTAAAAAATCATGTCGAGCCGACCGGCAACTTATCAATACAGGATCGCTACTGACCAACGGACCACCATGTGGGAACGCTGCACTATATCATTAGAACTGTACCCGTGGAAATAGGTGTGACGAACATATTATGGGTCGTTTTTTACAGTTTGTAATTTTTCAAAAATAAATACTAAAGAATAATTGTATAAAAAGTAATCGATTAAACATGAAACATGATGAATTCGATTATGTCATATCCGCGCCCAATTCGCATTTGTGTATCTGGAACACATGTCAAATTCACCCTGTAAGTTACAGATGCTGCTTTCACTAAAGGAATAAAATTGCATTTTATAATTCAACGTTTCTCTTCAGATTTGCGTATTTCGTGTGAGGTACGTATATGTTATTCAAAGCTTTAATGGAATCTACATCCTATAATTTAGAAAATGGATAACATAATTATAAAGCCTTTTCTTCACTCTTTTGACGCTTATTTGTTATAGGTCCATACATTAAAATATAGTGTTATTATTGCATATAACAATGCAGTTTTGGAATGACAGAAGAATGATTTCTTTTTTATCTTGTTTTTTTTTTTTTTTATTCTTTGAATTAAATGATTCTAATTGAAATTTATAAATTCCACGCTAATTAAATTAATATATTTTTTATGCACTTAATTTTCTAAGAGTTTGGAACACTTTACAGTCAGCGTATTTAATACATTAAAATATAGTGTTATTATTGCATATAACAATGCAGTTTTGGAATGACAGAAGAATGATTTCTTTTTTATCTTGTTTTTTTTTTTTTTTTTATTCTTTGAATTAAATGATTCTAATTGAAATCTATAAATTCCACGCTAATTAAATTAATATATTGTTTATGCACTGAATTTTCTAAGAGTTTGGAACCCTTTACAGTCAGAGTATTTCAGAGTAACCAATGGTCTGACATATAATGGTGGCTTAAGAAGGATTTAGCAAAGAATAATTAGCTTTCTTAAAACATTTGATCGTCCTAATTAGACATGAAATCTGAGTGAGCCCTTCTTAGCACTAATCAAAATCATGGCGCATTCTATGAATGGTAAGAAACAAACAGAATAGTACATTTACTTGACAAACTGATGTCTGTGTCTTTTTATTTAATTTCTTTATCTTGATGTTTTTTTCTATTCAAAACAGGGCTAAAATGTATAAATTATCAGCTCTAACTATTAGCAAATGCTTAATTACAGCCATTCATCTTTTACTGTTCAGATTCATAAAAGGTAAAAATTCTACATCCTCTTGGAAAATAACTTAAGTAATGACTTTAAATAAATATTGAGTTAATGACGTTACATTCAACAAATAATTAATGGCGTTCAATTAACAATAAATTAATTACTTTAAGTTAACATTAAATTAATGACGTTTAAATAACATTAAATCCTTGGTGCACAATCTTAATAAATTACTGATACGATTAATACAATTATTACAGTATGGTGCAATAGATAAACAAAGCCCTTGACCACGGACCAAGGCCATTTCAAATACACTTTTAAGAAAGATTAGTAAACATAGTGCCTACTTTAAATAAAACTCTAATATAGTTAACATTTATAATGGAGTAGCACCTAATGCTAAAAAAAATTAAAATGAAAATGAATTCTTTAAAATTAACTTACCATATGGGACATATTTCTGTCTCATCAGGGCTTGTCGCTGTCGAGAAAACTCACTTTGCTTAACGTGTATCGTGATATGGCCACGCTGATTCTTCTGAGCGCTATTTGAGATGAATCAGTTTCATTGAGTTTTTGATGTTAACAAACTCGCTAACATTGAAAATGAATAATCTAAAAATGTTTAGACTGTGTTTGGACTGTGTTTCTTAAAGATCACCTAGTTTATGTCACTTGCTTTTCAATTTTAAAGTTGTTAAGTAAACAATAGTGAAATGTTTGTTTAACAATAGTTTTATTGACATTATTTGGATTTTTTTTTCGTAAAATAATAACTTTGAATTTTTTTTTAAAAATCAGATTTTTCTTTTTTCTTTTTTTTGGGGGGTATGGGGGTGTTGGGGTGGGGCTGAAAATATAATAAAATGTTTTGTCATTGTCGTCAATTCTATGGCAATGTTCAAACTCGATAGGTTTACGGGAAGTGGGTCAATTAGCCATCCGAATATTTTGCCAATACTCCAGCTGGGCATAACCATTAACGAAGTTAATACACGGGATTTAAAAAAAGTTTAAAAAAAACACCATCATAACAAACATTATTTTTCGTAAACACCCTTTACAAATTGTAATTTCCAACAAACAGTCGGGGGCTGATGTTTTGATAAAGCATGCATACAAGTAACACAATTTATAAAAATCCCAAATAGTGCTCCCATTCGCGAGGCTGGCTGCCTAACGTTTTTTCCACGCCCTTGGACTATATTAATATTTTAATGTCTAACCTGATTTTACACAAAGTTTTGTTGAGCTTTCCATTTCATAAATTTAAAAATATGTGTATATATATTTAAAACAAAACTCACATGCGATGTTTGTTTTTATAGAATCTCATTTAACTCAGATATTAAGAACTTTTTTCGTAAAATGTCATTTTATTGAACTTCCCATGGAAAAACAGTACACAAGCTTTTTGGGGATTGGTGTAGTTCGGAGCCTGAAAATTTGAATGAACATGTTGTCATCGGTGATGAGTCAATGGGCTGATTTCAGCTCGGTGAGTGGGCAGTAAGTGGGTTAATTTTCCGTCCGTAGATATTTCCAGCCAGTCATCAAAAAACTAAAACGAAGTTATTATAAAACTTTTATGAAAGCAATTGTTGTTCATCCTAAAGAAAAACAAAATATAAAATATTACTATTATTTTCTTGAATTTGGCAAAATTAAAAACAAAAGTTTCGACAAAACCGCAACACTAAATCGAAATAATTGTAACTTTCAGCATGCAATAACTATAGAGTTTTGGAACAGTAACTATTTTACTAATCTACAAGAAAACAGGTCTGCCTGTTGTAGAAGAACAAAAGAATTGACGACGGATATCTCAATAATGTAGTCCGTTGCTCCATTATGTTCAATAGACATCACGTCCAAAGGTGTGAGCCTAAAAAAACAAGGAACACCTTATACTCACATTGAAAAGCCTAAATCTAACGGTGCGACCTAACCACTGGTGCGACATACACGTGATTATATACGGTAGATTAATTTCAACGATCACATGTTCGGTAAAATGTGACTGCAGCGGTCGACAAGTTGGATGAAAGCAATATCAAATCCACTTATTGTATCATCCAGGTTTATTACATTAAAGTGCCTAAATAAAAGACTCGGGTCTTTTCCTCTTGCTCTAAGGCAAATGTAGTATTACCTCTCGGCTAATCAGTTGTAGAGATATTTGATTGTCTAACTAAAATGATTCCCGTTTTACACTTACTGATTGACTGATGACTCATGTTTGAACTACTACGATAATTTTACATTGGACGTAAGGAAACTGCATATCAAAGGTCTGGAATGGAAAAGAAGGTGGACAGAAGCACGAGGAGAATGGAGATCCTTCCGAAAGATGTTATCATTAAATGTTTCACAAGGCGTAAAATGTTGTTTCTTTAAAAAATGCATTTTTTTTACCTGTAATTCCGAGCTGTAGCTAAATATAATTTAAAGAAACACATTTCTCTTTTGAAACAGAAATTCATGGCCAGGAAGTCCAACTAGATCCAAATGGCATGGAAGTTGTATCTCCTTGTTCAAGTGATCTAAGAGCTGGTCTTGACTTTTATATAGTTCGAGGGATTGTTAACGATACAACTGGCAAATTGTCAAATTTGATTGATTTTGAAACAAATAAAACATCTACAAATAAATATCAAACAGTAAGTAATTTAAATCATTCATTTTTTCAACTTATAAAACGTATCTAGATATAACATTTATATATACGCTACAAAATTTTTCAGTTCCATTTCATTGTTTTATATGATTAACATAAGTATTATAAGAAATATATTTCACACTATAGCACCATCCTACTAAAGCTTACCGTAGCTATGTGTTTAAAGCATGTCCATACAAAGGCCGATCACTCTTGATTAATGGAGTTAGCGCTGAAAAGGTGTATAACCTGCTCATGAGCTTACACCATAATGACATGTCAAAAATGCTAGGATAATGTACGAAGACAGGTCTTTCACATGTTGTTATAGAATTGTTGTGCTATACCGCTTATTGTTACTTAAGGCAAAGACTGTCACCATCAACTTAGGTGTCTTTGCTTTATGAATGTTTTAAATATCTCACATTTTTTTCAATTTTGAGAACATTATAAACTTTGTCTGTAACCCTCTCAGAAGCCGATAACCGATTTATACATTTAAAATATATATTTAATAAACGCGTTTTAAGAAAAAGTATCCATCGTGTAAGCATTTAGTTAAGGTAACCTTTTACAGGACGCTATCTTCTGGCTACCATATACTACTTTTTTGCGGCTTATTTAAAAATATTTTTTAATGTATACCACACTCTCATAAAACAGTGTAAGTCTAAATTCATTATGTTACATTTTATTAAAAAAATATAAATTAAAAAAAAAAAACATTTGAATAAGATAAATCATTCCCATTCATGTGTTGAAAAGAAAATAGATGAAACGCTAAATTATCCCAAATCCCATTTATATTCTCATTTTATAACATGACTCATCCATTTCTTTTTCCCGTAATTTCCTTTATTTTTCTTTTGCAGAATCTCGTAATGTCTCGAACCAATTACAATAATTGCAAAAATTAACGAGATTTTACACACGGTATACACCGTATATTTTAAACTTACTTTTGCTTTTGTTGATACATCAATGGAACTCGCGCTTAACTCAAATAAGACTTGAAACATCAGTATAAAAGATATGCTTCCAAATAAATTAACGCAGTGTTTGTTACAGGCATCTCTCAGTTTGGGGGATGCATCTCCAGCGAGTTATGTCATCCCCGGAGAAAAAATGTTTACCATGATAAAACGAAAATATATTTAATAAAAATAACTACATAGTCATTTTATAATATTTTGAAGAAGAGAAGCAATTGATGCCTTTCATAGATTATAATTAGTAAAAACTATAAAATATCGTTAAGCTCGAAATATTTGATGAACATTAAATGTAAAGCTAATTGTTTTAGATGCAAAGACTATTCCATTAAAAATATCGCAGTTTTCCCAAAAGTTGCCGCTCCTGATTATAAGATTTATTTACCTTTTATCCGCACTCATCTGTAATCTTAATTATTTATTTTTGCAATTTCACAAGTTAAGAGACTTTATCAGCACTCTATAAAATGCCTTAACATCAATATTAATGTATATGTTTACTATAATTCTTGGTAAGTATCAAACACGAGCAATCTGCTTTAAAAATATATTTCATTATAAGTTTATGACATTTAGAGTAGTGATAACTGTTTATTATAAATTAGAATTAATGACCCGATAACAATGGTAGGTCCTTTGCGATAATTTCTACCTGCAATTGAAAAAACGCTTTTATGAAAGTAAAACCACAATCAGAAAAACGGACTAATATTTATGGATTTTGACCCATGCCTGACCACACACATAACATTTGGATAGCGACTTGGAATGTACTCAATTTATGCAGAGCAGGTGCCTTGGCCCGCCTCAGTGAGGATTGACTTTGATATATAATTGTGATTGCGACACTACAGGAGATTAGATGGAAAGACACAGATATCCTAAATACAAAGGAATATACAATATTCTACTGTCGAAACAACACAAATACCTTAGGAACGAGGGGGGAAAACACTCTTGACCTACTCCTCACCAATTGTCCACATCGTGTCCAAAATGTTGAGGTCATCCCCTGGATTTCGGACCACAACATTCCTTATTGTGAATTTCAGGTCAACACACTAAAAATGAAACAAATCATTCGAGAAATCCCAATTTATGCCAAGGCAGACTGGGATGGCCTAAGGATTGCAACCACAGAGCTAAGCTCAAACATGAAGGTGATTCAAGGTACAGCGACAACAGACGAGCTGTGGGTGAAGTTCAAGACTACAATCACTGATGCAGTGAAGAAATGTATACCACACCAAATCACCAAACCTAGGATAAATCAGCCATGGGTCACGGCTGAAATCCGTAGGCTCATCCACAGGAGAGACCGCCAATACAAACGCATGAAGAAAAATGGCTCGATGGAACTGAGAGAGGAGGTACTGAGACTCCGCCGAACCATTCAACGCTTATTGCGTAGATCGTATTGGAACTACATGAACGGCATCTTCTCAGAGGAAGACACCCCGACCAAAGATGTCAAGAACAAGCGCTTCTGGAGCTATGTGAAACACCAAAAGTCCTCAAACGCTGGAGTTTCCCCCTTGAGGTGGGATGGCCAATTGACATCTGACCCAAAAGCACAGGCGGAGATACTCAATCAGCAGTTCCAGTCGGTCTTTGGTGACGGTAGAGAGTACTCTGAGACTGAGTTCCTTCTGAAGACCAAAATGATGAACAGAGCCTATCCTATCATGGGAGATATCCAGATATCAGAACAAGGTGTGTTTGCCCTCCTCAATACCATTAACCCTTACAAAGCATGTGGTCCTGACAACATTAAACCACGAGTGCTCAAAGAATTAGCCAAAGAAATCGCTCCTGCACTGACAATCCTCTTCCAATCGTCACTATGCACAGGAAATGTTCCAGCAGACTGGAGAACAGCGCATGTCACTCCAATTTACAAGAAAGGGGAGCATTCCGACCCTGCCAACTATCGTCCGATATCCCTCACTAGCGTCGTCTGCAAACTGTTGGAGCACATAATCGTAAGCTCTGTCATGAAGCATCTTGAAAGCCAAAATATACTCAATGACTGTCAACATGGCTTCCGAGTCAATAGGTCATGTGAGACCCAGCTTCTCGAATTTGTAGAAGACTTGATGACCAATCTGGAGAACCACAAGCAGACTGACGTGCTAGTAATGGACTTCGCAAAAGCATTTGACCGGGTGAATCATAGTTTGCTTCTACACAAACTCCAGATATATGGGATTCAAGGCACCACTAAAACATGGATCTCTAGCTTCCTCAGCCACCGACGCCAAGCAGTAGTGGTGGGCGGTACAAGCTCCTCCTTTGTCAATGTGAAGTCAGGGGTCCCCCAGGGATCAGTCCTGGGCCCCTGTTTGTTCCTAGCATACATTAATGACCTACCGGAGAAACTGACATCACAGGCAAGACTGTTTGCAGATGACACAGCAGTGTATAGGACGATCGCCAACAGATCTGACCAGGACCAGCTACAACAGGATCTCAATCTGTTAGCTGAGTGGGAGATGAGCTGGGACATGGAATTTCACCCTGCCAAGTGCCAGACACTATCAATCTCTAGAAGTTGTACTCCTCTACACTACCAATACAAACTGCACGGCCATATTCTTGAGCAAGTTTCCTCCGTAAAGTACCTGGGTGTTACCATTCAAAGAGAGGTCCGCTGGGACGAGCATATTAACAATGTATGTAACCAAGCAAACCAAGCCTTGGGGTTCTTAAGGCGAAATCTAAAGATTGGCAACTCCTGTGTGAAAGAAAGAGCATATAAAGCCTTTATCCGTCCGATTTTAGATTATGCATCTTCAGTCTGGGACCCATTTACCCAGAAGAGCATTGACAGGTTGGAGGCGGTCCAGCGACGAGCAGCACGCTTTGTCCTAAACCGCTACAGGAATACCTCTAGTGTTGGCAGCATGCTAGAAACACTAGGCTGGTCACCATTGGAGAAACGACGACGACAATCCAGGCTCTCCATGATGTACAAGATAAATAATGGGCTGGTCCACTGTTCCAGTATTAAACAGAAACTCGTCCCTCTCCCCCATAGACAGCGACGAGGCCATGACAGGCAATTCAGGCTCATACCAGCAAGAAGCCAGTATAGGAGCTGCTCATTCCTGCCCAAGACAATCAGGGACTGGAACCATCTTTCAAAAGGAACAGTTGAGGCGACAACACTAGACACATTTGTGTCTATTGCCTCAAGCCTTCAAACCCCTAGTGCATAATTTCCTCATCACCACCAGTAACAGAAACATTGCAAATCCCATCTACATGCATAGGAGCCAAAATGATCAATAAATTGATCGTGGGCCCTTAAGATATAGAAGAATTAGAAGGAACAGGGTTTGCAGTCAAAAGAGAGACAGTAAATGCAGTCATTGGGTTTAAGGTAAGAAAAATTGGAAAAGTATAGTGAACCGACCCTACGGGACTATCAATGTGGATTCCGGCAGAATAGGTCAACCACGGATCATATTTTTACTATAAGATGTCTCCTGGAGAAATGCTACGAATATAACATCGACATACACCAACTATATGTGGATTACAAAACAGCATACGATAGCGTAAACAGGAATTACCTATAAAATGCTTTACAAGAACTTGAGGTCCTTAACAAGCTTACTTGGCTCATACACATGACAATGGCCAACTCCAAAAGCAGAATCAAGGTTCAGGGAGAATATTCTAAGGAGTTCATAGTTAATCAGGGCCTCAGACAAGGAGACTCACTATCATGTATCCTGTTTAACATCACGCTAGAAAAAGTTATTAGAAGCATTGACATGAGCACCAGTGGAACCATAACAAACTATTTCCAGAGAGAAACTACAGAGCGACGACCATCAGGAACCTTATATAGCCAACCATTGCAGTACCTGGCATATGCAGATGATATAGCGCTACTGGGTAGAAACCGTAATGACATAATTAAAGCCTTCAGGGAACTTGAAAATGCCTCATTCAAAGCTGGCTTTTATATAAATGAACCGAAGACAAAAAATATGATAATGTCAAGAAACTCCCATGCATATGATAACATTAATATAAAAAACCACAAATTTGAGAGAGTGGACACATTCAAATATCTAGGGGCAACTATAAATGAGCACAATGAGATAATGTCAGAGGTGAAAGAAAGGATAACAGCAGGCAATCGTTCCTATTTCAGTCTACAAAAGCTACTGGGAAACAAAAACCTCTCAAGGGGAACAAAGAAGACAATATACACCACCATCATAAGACCTATAGTAACGTACGCTAGTGAGACCTGGACCCTCACCAGAAAAGCAGAGAACCTGCTCAACACATGGGAGAGGAAAATCCTCCGCAAAATATACGGACCAGTGATAGAAAATGATATCTGGAGAATCCCTACAAACCAAGAACTTTACTATTTGTACAAAGAACCACCCATAGTCACAATGATAGAAAAGGCAGAATACGCTGGGCAGGACATGTTGAAAGGATGCCGGAATGCAGAACAGCCAAAATTATATACAGGCAGAAGCCTAGGGGCAGACGACTCATCGGTCGCCCAAGGATGAGGTGGATTGATGATGTGGAGACATATTTACACCAGTTTGGGGTTCGAGCATGGAGACGGAAAGCCATGGATCGCTCCGAATGGAAGGATGTGGTGGATCAGTCCAGGGTCCTACATTGGCTGTAGTGCCATTAATGATGTGATGATTGAAAAAACGCATCACAATTCCTAACATGTTTAATGTTTTCGTTTCTAAGATATATAAGTTTAAGAAGTATTTCTCTGATATATATTATAAACTTACCCTACTTCCTTTCAAGCCCTTAAATTAATTTTTCCCCTCTAAACCTTACCTTAAATTACCAAATCTAAATTACTACTATTTATATCACTTTTCTCACTAAAGAAGGTAAATGTGGGACTATTTCTACGCTAGAGAAATACATTTATTTATTTTAAGACTTAACCTGTGCTGCTAAATAAGTAACATATTTTGCACTTCAAGTGGTGTGCTCTCAATTGGATGAGTTATAATTGATTTAGTGAATGCTATTTGACAACACTAATTAACTTAAACGTCATTTTCCTATTACAAGTAGTTTTAAAGGTTACATTTTTATTACATTATACATTTAATGAAAGTATATATTTTTAATTACAACAAATTTTAAAAACGTATTAAATGTTAAAAATACAAAGCTAAAACGTCTGTATGTTTTATTAACTGTTTACAAAGCAATACATTATATTTATTAATTTTACTTTGAAGAAGGGAAAATACATTATCAGTTTTTAACGCTTGGTTATTTAATCAAAGAGCCTTAAGAGTATTGGCTAAAATAGGTGATTCTGGTTATGACGTCATTTGCGTGCTTATTCGGAACAAATTAATTTTAAAGTTATCTCGCACTTTTAACAACGCACTAAAAAACGCACATAAAACAACTGATCTTTGGTTTTCCCGATAAAAGTGACTGCGATGTAATTCTTAGATCATAATTATTTATTTACATTTTGTGCTATAACATTTGAATTCGGATAAAAAGCTTACAATATTTCCATAGTTATTACATTAAGTGTATTTGTAATTTATAATAATAATATTTGAACTTGTACTAAAAAAAGCATTTTTATGTTATATTTTTGTGCATTTAAATGTATTTGATTTCGGTAAAATAATAGTTTAATATTAAACGTAGTTTTAAGAATCCGAAAGTATCTAAATATTTTCGGTTCTTAGTGTTACTGTCAGCATAGCTAATTCTTATATATATATATATATATTACTTTTCATTTATATTGATCTTGTTAACTGATATGAGCTGGGTTTTTTTGTTTTTTTGTGTGTGTGTGTGTGCTCTAAAGTTAAGTGACACCTCATTTGTAACTAGCATCTCGTTCATTGCACTCTAAAGAAGTGTAGAATATGGTAAATACAAATTTCACATATTTGATAAAATGATTTCTTTTATTTTGAATTTATCAATAACAAAACTTTTGGGGACTATCAAGATATCTAGCGTAAAAAATACACTCAATTGCAACACATTACATTGTATGTAGCTTATTTTTGGCTGGAGAGAATTTAAAGAAGGCATTGTCTAAATTTGAACGCAATTATTTTTATTCTTTAAATAACATCAATGCCCGTTTTGGTTACCCATTTAGTCTTGTGCCCTAGACATCTGTAAGCTTTTCCTCTCTTAGCTACGCCTCTGGTTACTGGTAATGTCCACCAAAATTATGAAATGACCCCCAAACAGACTAAATAACCTGCATGGGCGCGTATTTACAACTTTTTTTTACCCAAGTCGGACCATCCAATATACTTTTCGTTGAGTTTGAAGCCCCTGATACAAGTGCAGCAACATAAATAAAAACAAATAAGAGCCATGAATAGTAGGTTGAAAATTCATGAGCGCCTCTCTTGTCTACGAAGCCTCGGAGTGATAAAAAGACGTTTCTGGAAATTAGTGTAAGGACTTTTTTTGTGGATAATAATCATGGAACAAAAATGCGTTTCTGTATCAATCAGCTTTTAGGATCAACCATTAATAAAAGTATTTAAAATTTTACTTTTTAAAATGTTTTTTTTTGCAGGCATATTTAAAATGCAATACACATAGACGAGATATTTCAAATTCTATGAAACTCTATCCAATTAAATTAAATTTAATTATTCTGTATATTTTCAAGATATGCACCATCAGTTTGACTACTTGTATTACACCGAACCCTCAACATTGCTACTGTGCTGCACAGAAAGGAAACATATATGAAATAGTGGTTAACAGATCAGCATTTCTCAGTGAAAGTAATGCTGTAATTAGGATCAAGTGGGAAAGTACTTCTGGTGTTAGCGTTGTCAGCAATGAACTACAAGTACCTAAAATATATGGTAATATTTTTTTTTAATTTATCACTCTGACAGTAATGCTCTAATACGAATTCACTGGCGTGGCATTGAGAAAGAAGCTACCAGCAATGTGTTCTGATTGCCAAAAATTTATGGTAGATATTTAATTCATTCCTAAGTATTATTGTAATACATTTTAATTGTATTTTGAATTAAATACTAGTTATTTCCCGTGTTGCCATAACTCGGCTAAATGAATTATTTGGAGAATTTTTCGGACCTACGCTCTCACAATAACCCACTCTCCCCCTAACCGAATGACTGGATGGTCCTAGTCGATGTTGACGGACGAACACCATGTTCACATTTGCAAGTGACACTCTCTATTGAAACACGAATGTAGGGTGTAATTTCTATGCCTTAAATTAAACGTTAATTCATAACTTTTCAGTAGAACTCCGTCAGGAAGGACATCTCCCCTTCTTATCCTAAAGAGTGAAGAAATAGTTTTGCTGTTTCGTAACCTAAATTCTTAAAACGGTTGGCACAGATAACTGGAATAGATTGTGTCATATTATGTTATCATTTCAATGATCTATCGATTTATCTCTATTTTTCGTTAATGAGTTGAAGCTTTCAAGCTACTTTCCGACAATTCTCAAAGTTAAAACTCAGGATGGTGGGTTTCGAAAAATAGAAACAATGATACTTATGTCTCGATTACTTGGTAAATTATTTTGATGATGCAGTTTTAGATGACGTAAATAAATATGCAATTCTCAATGCCATTTTCAGCTGTTATTTGTTAGGTTAATCGTGGCCAGCACTTTCAATGTTGATGGTCTACTACAAATTCAAGAAAATTCATCGATGATTTGCTTTATTTAATGTAGATTTAAAACGTTCTCTATCGACCACTATAACCTTACGCATAACGTCAAAGAATATTAAATAAAATTTAGCGTAATCAACATATTTTTTGGTTAAACGTATAGTTAATGGTTAGAATCCGTATATTCCCCATTATAAATTCAATGAATTTTAAAGTTTTACGATTGAAAAAGGTACAATTTATTAAAGGTGAAGGATTCAAAAATTAAATTTTCTGTGCTATGTTAAAACATTAGTCAAACGATTTAGAAAGCAATTAAAAGACTCTTGTCCCTAGGGTAAATTAAGGAAGTTATATCTTTTAATTTATTGGTTTCAATCAGATTCCTATAACATGAATACTTTTTGTTTCACAGAGTTCAAACAAAATATGATTTGTTTAGAGACAATGGCGCCATTAATATTAATGTTGCTTTTATAATAAAACCTTTAGTGCTCTAAGTTCACCTAAATGTGTGTACATATTGTTACTAACAAATTTCAGTTTAAAAAATTTCTGATTAACAGCAAATATGTAAGCTTCATATTTATAGAAAAATGTAATCTTACCTTGAAAGAAATCAGTAAGTATTATGATTTTAAAATTACAGATGCTTTTAAATGAATTAAACATAAATACATTGAAATGAAAGATAATCATGAATAGTTAAATTAACGATGCCAATATCATTTTATACGATATATTAAGTCTCTTATTCACATACATATTTTTTTTATCTTAATTTTATTTTATTTATGTCTAATTTATGAAAATATTTTAAACAACTAATATATTACATATAATTATTTTATTTTTCCGAATTCAATTGATTCGATTTCGGTAAAATGAAACAAAAATCCTAATCATTATTGTTTTAAAAATCCATTTAATGTTGCGATATCTGTTTTTTCGGTAAATAAATCAAATGTACACCCTGTTTGGTACAATGAAAAGAAATTGCATTATGTGCGCTATTGAACTTAGCATTTAATGATGAACACAGCTTTTCGATAAATAGGCCTACTATCAGCCAAAGGGAAAGCGTGTTGCGCTCTTCGCTAACTACATAAGGGAAGCCTTAAACTCAAAATGTTTTTTTTTTCCTTTTTTAAATGTATGTATTTTTTACCATTGTAGCAAACCAAATAAATAAGAATGAAAAATGTCCCTGACTTTTAAGTGTACTTTCCGTAAATGAGACTTTCATCATTTTTAAAGCAGCATCAACGTATAGATGTTTACATTTCTAAACCCATTTAGTTTTAAGAAATGTTTATCCTCTATATAATATAGGCCCATCCAGCCCCTTTTAGCGTTTTTCAAATATAAAGAAAATACTTAATTCATTAAATTCGTTTATAACTTTTTACAATAATGCTTAGATCTTAATTCTTACTTATACTTAGATAAAGGCAGATATAAGTGTAGCATATTTAAAGTGATTTTAAAAAACCCGAATGTAAAGCATCTACACTTTCTCCTTCATACATTGATGTATATATGTATATATATAAAGGTAACGTATACATTCATTGGAGTTGTAACACTTCGCGTGCCTGCTATCACTTATTTCAGACATTAAAAAAATATGTTGCAATTGTATTGTTTAGAACCATTAACGATTTTTTAAAAAAATGTTTCTTTTGTTGGATTCAATGATGCACATTTAAACTTAAAAGACATGACATATTATAAAGTCATTTTAAAGATAATATTTATATTAGAGTTTTAATAAATTTATTTACAACGCCTACGTTTTGCCACCCAGATCTGGATTCCGTGACAACAAGTTTGACACTAAATGATGCTCCCGCGACATGTCCACTTGCTATCACACGTGGATCTGTTATTAAGTTCCAGTGTCAAAATTCTCCCAGTCCTTGTTATTTAACAATTGCTGTCAACGAAGATGTAGTGAAAGGTGAACATAGTGCTACTTACACAGTGACGTACGATCCAATGTCGTATTCAACACACAATTTTACATTTTCTTATTCTATTAGTGGAGGACCTACACAAACAACAAACTGTCGTGTGGATATAGGTAACTATATATATATTGTTAACGTATTCTCTTAACTTCTGATAAGACAAGGGTTTTGATAAAGTTTGATTTCACAAATATAAAGAGATGTATGTGTCAGGTCTACAATTTTATAAATTTGCTATTATAAATACTATGTATATTTAATGTCTTTAGCATTGTATGTTTTGACACTATGTTTGAAACCGGAAGTTTTAATAAGAAACTCATACAGATTGTTTTAAAGAATGATTTCGCACCCATTTCATTTTAAGATAGCCTACATATTATTGTCTGTTTTAATTATTTCTCTTTAGTATAAAGCATTGTAGGGTGTAGACACCGGAAGTCTTGCATCAAACAGTTATTATTCCAAAAAGATACATATATATTTTGCTAACAATATTTGTAGCTTACAATCTACCTTTGTAGCTTACAATATCCTGACTATCGTCATCGACGACTATGACTTGGATACTGTTGACAGATTCACATATCTGGGATCCAACATATCGAGCACCCTCTCAATGGAGGATGAGATAAGTGGGAGGATAGGGAAGGCCGCAACTGTTATGGCCAGACTGAAGAAAAGAGTCTGGTCAAACGCCAAACTAACAACAAGAACTAAGCTGCAGGTGTACCAGGCCTGCGTACTGAGCACACTTCTGTATGGATGCGAGTCGTGGACCACGTACTCTAAACACGAAAGAAGGCTCAATGGCTTCCACCTCAGATGCCTGCGCCACATTCTTGACATTAAATGGCAAGACAAAGTCCCCAACACGGATGTCCTGTCCCAAACAAACATGTATAGCGTCCCAGCCATGTTAATCCAAATACGCCTCCGCTGGCTTGGACACGTCAAGCGAATGCAATCTGGTCGCATACCAAAGGACGTGCTATACAGCGAGCTGGCGACAGGGAAAAGGTCAGTTGGACGGCCTCGTCTGAGATACTTAGACATATGAAATGGAGGATGAGATAAGTGGGAGGATAGGGAAGGCCGCAACTGTTATGGCCAGACTGAAGAAAAGAGTCTGGTCAAACGCCAAACTAACAACAAGAACTAAGCTGCAGGTGTACCAGGCCTGCGTACTGAGCACACTTCTGTATGGATGCGAGTCGTGGACCACGTACTCTAAACACGAAAGAAGGCTCAATGGCTTCCACCTCAGATGCCTGCGCCACATTCTTGACATTAAATGGCAAGACAAAGTCCCCAACACGGATGTCCTGTCCCAAACAAACATGTATAGCGTCCCAGCCATGTTAATCCAAATACGCCTCCGCTGGCTTGGACACGTCAAGCGAATGCAATCTGGTCGCATACCAAAGGACGTGCTATACAGCGAGCTGGCGACAGGGAAAAGGTCAGTTGGATGGCCTCGTCTGAGATACTTAGACATATGCAAAAGAGTCATGAAGTCCTCTAACATCGACATCTCAAACTGGGAGGAGTTGGCAGAGGATCGATCCTCATGGGAGGGCATCGTGAAGGCAGGATCACTACATGACGAGGATCAAAACAGGGCGGAAACAGCTGCAAAAAGAGCGAGGAGGAAGGCCGGTAAATACTGCTCCACCGCATTCGTGTGTGTGAAACGTAACAGAGACTGCCATTCGAGGATTGGTCTCACCAGCCACACCAAGAGCTGCAAGCAATAAAGATAATCTATCGTCTCCCGCAGACGGAAAGATGCCATACATACATACAATCTACCTTTACAACTGAACTATGCAAATTGTATTCACATTTATATGATAATAGTTAATATACCCTGCGTTACCTGGGATTGCATTCTTTAAAAAAATAATTTCTCCAGCCTTTTTATTTAACATTTAAAGAAAAGCGCCTTGAAAAAGAATAAAAGAAAAAAAAAACCGCTGTACTAAAAATTTTTTTTAAAAAATATTAATTTTTTTCAATAAAAAAAAAAACACCTTTATAATAACTTTGTAAGCCTTTCATTTCTCGTTAGGATCCCATTCCCCGTTAGTGTCCTCAAACCCAGTGTTATCTCGAACCAGTTTAGTTCCAAGCCTGTCTGTTTCCCGATACCTGTGGGATTCCAATCCTGGTGGATCCCTATTTCCATTGAGATCACATTTCCTGGTGTGATCCCGATCATACTGGGATCCCGATCTCGAGAAGATTCCTTTTTCAAGTGGGATCACGATTCCGTTAGGATCCCACTCTTTGTATCGTCACATTTCCATTGTAATTTCCTTCTCCGGAGGGATTCGATTTCCCGATAAGACCCGATCCCTTTGGTATCGTTTCCAAATGAAATTTCGATCCCAGTTTGATCCCATTTACCAGTAAGATCCCGATCACGGCATTGTTCTGTTACACGATGGGATTCGTTAAAGGTGTGTTCCATTTTGCGGAGTTAGAGTCGGATTTAAAAAAAAAAAAAAAAAAAAAAAAAATTAAAAAAAGATCCAAAAAAAAAAATATTAAAAAAACCAAAAATAAACTTTTTTTTTTTAAAAAAAAAAAAAAAAAAAAAAAAAAAGTTAAATGCTGTCCCATTAAAATTAGTTTTAAAATACCTCAAATATAGCTTTTTTTTTTTAAAAAAAAAAAGATATTTTATTAAAATTCTAGACCGGCACATAAAGGATTCAATTTAACTTTAAGTCCGCCGATATTTTAATAAGGACTATAATAAAATGGTTACCTAGCTAGCCATATATCCATAAATGCACATATAGCCAATAGTGTTGTCTAAGCCTATAGATATTTATTTAATTTATATAAGGAAAAAATGGGACCCCCTGTCCCAAAAAAGTGTAAATTATGCGTTTCGTATCCTTTGGTAATTTAATATAGATAATAAAATGTATGTGCACTAGGTTTGGTCAAGATCAATCTATTCATGTAGGAGTATTTGTTAGTCATTCATTTATATAGTTCATATATGAAACAAAAAAAAAGTACTCAGTGCCATCGACCCCAAACGGAATGTTATAAAAGGTTCAAAACACTCTTAGAGTTAATTTCGAATAATAAAGTGGTATGTGCCAATGTTGGTCAAGGTCCATTAATCCATGTTTAAACGTATGCGTAACAAAAAAAAAAAAAAACACACACAAATTTTCCGTTTTATGTAGATGCATTCGGAAAACAACAAAGAACTTCTACAACTTTATAATTAACATTCAAATTAAGCACCAAATAAAAAAAACAATAGAAAAAAAATAACAACACTCGTATAGTAAAAACTAAAAATTATTATTTCTTGTACACATTTTGCCTCGGGGCGGTTGGGGGAGTGGAGAGTTGACGTTCCGTGGGAGTGCTCTTCCCTCCCGGAGGGATGCCTCAAAGAAACAGTGGTGACAAGTTTAACGTTTTTATGATATTTCAAATAGCATTCTGAGGGCACTTAGAAAAAAAAAGTATCAACTTAAGCTTGAATTGTGGTTGTTTTAGTCTATCATGTGTTCCTGTCTTCACAGGGTTTTCATACACATTTCATGTATAAGTAGATAGTGAAAATAATTGGAAACCATCAGTTAAATTTGTAATAAATACTTATGCTTTATAATCTTATTGATTAGTGATACTACAACATGTACATTAACATTATTATTAGATGTATCTTGTAATGGCTTTCAATTGTATCTCTTACTTATTTTTTTTCCTTAGTTAGAGAAACGACATATGTACCTGTTACTTTAACTAACAAGATTTCTGGAATGCTTTTTAAATGTTTGTATTTCTATGTTGTTATCTCAAATTTAGCTGTTAAATAACCATCCCTAACTTTCTAAATTAATTTTCTTTGTATGTCTTCATTTCTAACAACTCTAATACATTTTAGTTACAATTAATATATTGGTATGATGCAGGCGTAAACCACACATATTTGCCAATATGATATTTTTTTCATTCCAGGGAAATTATACCTTGTTGAATATCATAAAGATGTTTTGTGAACATATCTGCCATTCTTCTCCCAGTTACGCAGAAATAAATAGAATTACATTTAAGCTACACAAGCACATACATCACATTACGACTAAAACATTGAAACCCAATGTGATGGTTAGTCCCAAACTAAGATGGGTCAGTTCGAACTGCATGGACATATTCTTGAGCAAGTTTCCTCCGTAAAGTACCTGGGTGTTACCATTCAAAGAGAGGTCCGCTGGGACGAGCATATTAACAATGTATGTAAACAAGAGAACCAAGCCTTGGGGTTCTTAAGGCGAAATCTAAAGATTGGCAACTCCTGTGTGAAAGAAAGAGCATATAAAGCCTTTATCCGTCCGATGTTAGATTATGCATCTTCAGTCTGGGACCCATTTACCCAGAAGAGCATTGACAGGTTGGAGGCGGTCCAGCGACGAGCAGCACGTTTTGTCCTAAACCGCTACAGGAATACCTCTAGTGTTGGCAGCATGCTAGAAACACTAGGCTGGTCACCATTGGAGAAACGACGACGACAATNTATTCAGGGCTTCTGCCAGTATGTGCCTTCTCTACCTTATATTCCAAAAATCCCAATGTTAGGCAAGCTTAACTACTGAACGCCTCAACGTTTAAGTTTCGCACCACCGATGCAACTCGGTGGTGTCACATGGAGTTTGTCTCTTTGTGGCGTGCAAGACTAGTAGGGAAGTGTCCTCTCCCGAAGCCAAAAATCCCGGCTACTTGTATGACTTCATACGCAACTGAAGAAACACAAACACATGATTATTTTTTGCCATTAAAGGATATGATGTCTGGGTAGCGATTAAAATCCATACCGATGATTTTTAGCTGAGAAAGCCGATCCCAAGCGACCGTTTCGTCCAAGCTTTATCCCGAAAGGACAACTCCCTGGGCTGAGGGGGGGGGTAACGCAGCTAATTTGCCACGGAGAGAAAGCAAAGCCGTTTTGACCCAAGGAGAGTGGACCGCGAACGCTTTAAACGCAGCGTTTTCATTCGACGGGACATCCATCAGGCCAGGTGGGAATTTTCCAACGTGCTGCAGCACAGTCTGGCGGCGGGGAGATCCGGCACCTGGCCCTTTAAGAGGTGTGCCGGGGGCGGGGGTATTAAGAGCTCGCGCTCGATGACCCACCGATGCCACCTCTAAGGTAACATTTTCTTGAGTATTTCGTGTCTACTCAAGTATGCATTGTTACCGACCTTACTTTTTTTTTTTAAAGTATGTTCTTTTAAATATATTTATACAGAATTTTCAATGGCAATGGCTGTTAGAACAATTATCTTCAATTATCTCATCATTTGAAACCTCATTTCTTTAAATAGGAGTAGGTAAATTATTTTAAAAATGTATGTTATTGATAAAGGTATTTTTTCATGTTTAAACACAGTAATCTACGTAATACTAATTTTTTAGTCATCACCTATTCAACATCATTTTTTTTTTAATTTTTAAAAGCCCTTTATCCTGTTGCTACAAATGTCAATAGTGTTAATCTAATTGATTATTATATATTGCAAGAACTGTTATATTGTAGCAAGAAAATCTGTAAATGGACTGCATATGAAAAATATATTTTAAACAAGTTTAATAACGTTGTAACCTTACGATTTAAAATCGATTTCAATCATTTACATATCTGCAGTATCTTATTCTTGATGGGTTATTAAATTGAAATTTCACACTTTTTTTTTTCTCTTAGCTTTAATTTCCTTACGGACTTTTGTCCACTTTTCTTTTTTTAATTTGATTTTAATGTAATATATCTTTATACACACACACACACACACACACACACACACACACACACACACACGCACACACATATATATATATATATATATATATATATATATATATATATATATATATAAGCTAGAAACACTAGGCTGGTCACCATTGGAGAAACGACGACGACAATCCAGGCTCTCCATGATGTACAAGATAAATAATGGGCTGGTCCACTGTTCCAGTATTAAACAGAAACTCGTCCCTCTCCCCCATAGACAGCGACGAGGCCATGACAAGCAATTCAGGCTCATACCAGCAAGAAGCCAGTATAGGAGCTGCTCATTCCTGCCCAAGACAATCAGGGACTGGAACCATCTTTTAAAAGGAACAGTTGAGGCGACAACACTAGACACATTTGTGTCTATTGCCTCAAGCCTTCAAACCCCTAGTGCATAATTTCCTCATCACCACCAGTAACAGAAACATTGCAAATCCCATCTACATGCATAGGAGCCAAAATGATCAATAAATTGATCGTGGGCCCTTAAGATATAGAAGAAGAAGAAGAAGGCGACTCTAAACCATAAAGTCTTCTGTGCACTCTGAAGACAATCAGGGAGGGAGATGAGAATACCTTGTTAGTTGTGAGGTCAGGAAGAAGTATTGAAGAAATGTTTTTGGCTGTCAAATAGTGAGTGGGATATGTTAATACACGTTTTGTTCAATTTCAATTTTGTTTTGGCAATATTTAAAAGCGTCTTTCCGTGTGGTAGTGCTAATATGATTGAGTGCCGAGACAAGTATAGTTTAAGGATAAGATCATGAGTTGAAGAAATCCACCACATCATCAGCTTTGTCTAAAATATTTTCATCAAGTTGGCAGAGGCGCCGTAGTCTGAGACTTTGTAAGAAATGTATGTATAGAGTTTTTGCATTTTATGGGGTTGGGGGATGAGAAATACAGGTAACTACGGCTGTCAGTGGGTCTGTATTAGGCAGATTTGATCAATCCGTTTTCTTTTAATGTTATGGTGATATCAAGGAAGTTGAAGAAATGTCCAGAGATTTGAGAAGTAAATTTAATGGATGAATGAATTGAGGTTAAGAATTCTACATATTTGTGAAGTTCGTTCATTTTCATGGTAGTGATGTCAATGCGATCATTAATTTATCTTTTATAATATTCAGGGCTTCTGCCAGTATGTGCCTTCTCTACCTTATATTCCAAAAATCCCAATGTTAGGCAAGCTTAACTACTGAACGCCTCAACGTTTAAGTTTCGCACCACCGATGCAACTCGGTGGTGTCACATGGAGTTTGTCTCTTTGTGGCGTGCAAGACTAGTAGGGAAGTGTCCTCTCCCGAAGCCAAAAATCCCGGCTACTTGTATGACTTCATACGCAACTGAAGAAACACAAACACATGATTATTTTTTGCCATTAAAGGATATGATGTCTGGGTAGCGATTAAAATCCATACCGATGATTTTTAGCTGAGAAAGCCGATCCCAAGCGACCGTTTCGTCCAAGCTTTATCCCGAAAGGACAACTCCCTGGGCTGAGGGGGGGGGGGTAACGCAGCTAATTTGCCACGGGGAGAAAGCAAAGCCGTTTTGACCCAAGGAGAGTGGACCGCGAACGCTTTAAACGCAGCGTTTTCATTCGACGGGACATCCATCAGGCCAGGGGGGAATTTTCCAACGTGCTGCAGCACAGTCTGGCGGCGGGGAGATCCGGCACCTGGCCCTTTAAGAGGTGTGCCGGGGGCGGGGGTATTAAGAGCTCGCGCTCGATGACCCACCGATGCCACCTCTAAGGTAACATTTTCTTGAGTATTTCGTGTCTACTCAAGTATGCATTGTTACCGACCTTACTTTTTTTTTTTAAAGTATGTTCTTTTAAATATATTTATACAGAATTTTCAATGGCAATGGCTGTTAGAACAATTATCTTCAATTATCTCATCATTTGAAACCTCATTTCTTTAAATAGGAGTAGGTAAATTATTTTAAAAATGTATGTTATTGATAAAGGTATTTTTTCATGTTTAAACACAGTAATCTACGTAATACTAATTTTTTAGTCATCACCTATTCAACATCATTTTTTTTTTAATTTTTAAAAGCCCTTTATCCTGTTGCTACAAATNAATAAATAAATTAGTTTCAGACTTTTTCACTAAATTTTAAGTTTTCAAGTAGATCAATGAGTTATGAGATTAAGACAATTTGAGCATATACAACAAAAACGTGTTTAGCTTTTGTAATAGTGCAAATAATACAAACTCAAAAGATATGGCAAAATTGTTTATCAGTACAACAAAAAAAAAGCATTCATATAAGTTTAATTAATTTCTATATTATATATATATATATATATATAATATAAATATTAATTAAACTTATATGAATGCTTTTTTTTTGTTGTACTGATAAACAATTTTGCCATATCTTTTGAGTTTGTATTATTTGCACTATTACAAAAGCTAAACACGTTTTTGTTGTATATGCTCAAATTGTCTTAATCTCATAACTCATTGATCTACTTGAAAACTTAAAATTTAGTGAAAAAGTCTGAAACTAATTTATTTATTCTAATCAAACTTTACTAGGCACTTACTCATTATTTCAATACCATTGGATCGTTACACATTGGATTAATGATAATATAAAACTTATTTTTTAGGCTTAACGCTGTGTCCATGTTATTTAATATCTTATAAAAAATTAAATGTTAAGCATGCATTCATTTGTTAACATATAAATCTTACTTTCTTTCGATTTATCGCCTAATTTTTCACATGTTTAAAATTGGCTAAAATTGGAAAATGAAAACACCTTTTGTATCTTCTAGCGAAGTGGTTTTAAAAAGAATGACATTTATTAACTTAATCAAAATATATATATTTTAATTTTCCTAACATGAATAGTAGTGTCTGTCTTTGTATGATATTGATTTGTTTGTGGTACAATTTATATTGATCGCTTCAAATAAAGTGTAATTAAATCGTACCTTTTTTTATACAGCAAAGTCATCAGATCCATCATTGAAATTTGCGACTTGGTGTATAGTCTTGGTTGTCATCTTCTACATAGGTATTGTGGTTACAGTGATAATTGTGATTGCTATATTATATTTCAGTAAGTATTACATGTTTTTTAAATGAACTTTAACTAAATATTTTTGCAAACATTATAAAGTTACAAACTATGCTTCACGCATTTTGATTTTTAAATTAACACTCATTAGATGATAGTTTCTATTTTTACGAGTTCATTTATAATTTTCTTTAATTAACTCTAGGCACTACAAGATATGGGAGCAGCATAATTTGAAACATTTTTAATTTATTATTTCTTTTAAAAATGTTTTCAATATAATGAAGAAGCATTTTATTTTTTTTCCCCAGTCAAGGCATCAAAAATGTTGTCGAACCTTTTCAAAATCTTTGTTGTATTTTTAGTCTTTGCTGAAATACTTTGTATAATATTGATTATAGTGTTTGCCTTGGCTAAACCTTCAACTAATGGTAAGTCTGAGTGTATTTATCTATATTTATACATATAATTTGGGGTAAAATAGTTTGCTGACCATTGCACTTGGCCAATACATTTTCTTCGCAATAGTCTTTGAAAGAATGAAAAATATAATAACGGATATGAACAGCAAAATAATTGATGGCTTTTCATCTTGTTTATCATAATTACAGCAAATGAGTAAGTGATAGGCTGGGAATTAAAATAATATTATTTGGTATTTTATGTATATATATACGCCAAATCACTCACTCACTTAAATGAGTCACTGATCACTAGATGTCGAGAACAACAAATGTTTTAATGTCAAAACTGTGCATTGTGATTCCTCGTAAACTCTGCTATTATTAATTTTATATTTTACTATTATTAGCTTTTAATGAGAAAAAGTCAAAACATGTTTAATGTATGAATGGTTTGCCTTTTTGCTGTGTTTCATGTTTATGTTTAGGAACACTCGTTTTTTTTTCTTTAATATGTTTTGGTGTCGAGATTAATTGAGAAAAAATGTATTACTATGGCAGTGTAAACATCTGAGGTACTTCATCAATGCAAATTGATTGTTTGGGATAAGTGCATCATGAAAGTTAGAAAACTGCTCAGCCCTAGATCACTTGTGTGATGAACCTTCATGTTAACTGGTATTTATTACCTTGGGACTTTTGCCCATGGGTAGCATAACTTAATTAAGGCATTGACCTCATCCCCACACGTTTCAGAGGAGAGACACGTACTCTTACCTCAGATGTTCTGTAGCCTTATGTACAATAATTATATTCCTTCTTTATGAGCCATGGTACACTTATCCCAAAAATTTACTGCACTGTCAAATTTCCTGGGAAATATTGCACACTTCAGAAATAATACACACTGGATTCTCAAGTGTCGCATTCCTCACAATAATTAATTATAATCAAAAGATAAAAGTTAATATGTCGGTTGTGTAAATGTTACATTGGCTACAGTGGTTAAAAACTTAAATTAAAAAAATATTTGCTTTATCGCATCATTCACAAATTTAAAAAAAAAAAATGCAGTCAAAAATACACCTCGGGTATAAGTATATTTAGGCATATTTATCATTGATATTTTTTATTTATTTTATATTTTTATATTTATAATTATATTTTTTTTAAATTTGGACACACAAAATATTTCTTGCAATACGTACCACACATCTGTATTCGGTAAATTTATTAAATATGTTGTTTTCATGATTCGTATGTTGTTATTTTTCTATCAGATCCAGAACCAGGAAGCAATATACTTGCTCAATGGAAAATAATGTTGATCATCTATTGTGTTTTTCAAGGTGCACTTTTAATTGCTGCAGTTGTATTTGCTATTATTTACCGTAAGTACAACATTATTTCATTAGAGAAGAAAAAACGATTCCAGAATACTATCACAATGAACATTTTATATTCTTGATTATAATTTTTTTTTTTAATTTACATTTTTATTTATTTTTTCAATTGTTGGATGAACGGAAACATGCATTTGTTTCTTATTACATGGTATTTATTGTTATAATAATATGAATATAGTTATAAACATTGAATGTTCATTTTGTATATGCTGATCATAAAGGGTAATTTAATTGGTTTTCTAAACTTAACCACAGATCAAAGCTAATGCTTGAAAAAATAAAGTCTTTAAAAAAGAATCTTAAGAGATTTCTGTGTAACTAATGTTTCAAAAATTCTTATCACAGAAATGTCCATATAACTTATTTGTATCACAACATTTACATTATATGTTATGAGAATTCATATTACATCGTCTTCGACAAAACTATCGCCACGACCGGCATACCCGTCTGATTAGCTCACTGTTGGAAGAAAATAGCATTAAATTGAAATAAATTTAGCATATTATAGCCAACTTTTGTTTGTAACATATTAACAAATAGCTCAAATATTTTTTTTTTTATAAATGAAGATACTTTGTGCGTTTATCTCTACAAGACGGGTAATAATTATTGTAATCACTATTTCTATTTTTTCTTTTTACTTTATGAATATGTGCCAATATTAGTACAATTTTGAGCACATAAACATGTCTGATTATGAAATAAATACAATTTGATCCACACCATTAGGAACAGAAAACTGTCTAAGGCCTGTTAGAGTTTTTCATAGTCAGTTGATGTTCATTTCACATGAGATCTCCGGGGTAACTAACAAGAACTAATGTAAATTATTTAATATAATAAACATGGCATGAGTTTAAATAAATGATGAGGTAACAAAAAACAGAATAGAAGCAATATAAAATATAATATCATTTTAGGAATACGAGCAGCTTAAAAAGACAGTGCAGAAATACTTTGATTTGAAAGTTCTGCAAATCCAGCCATAAAAGATCTCACAAGATGCGCACACATCTCATTGTTGGGACAAGTCTTATTGAGTCTTACTTAGTTGTTTCAAAAGAAATCAGTTTTAATTTTTTGAAATTACATTATGTTTACATTATCTTATTGTTTTTATATTCACTAAACGGGAAGTAATTGCTATGTAAATATAATCATTGATTCTCAATAAAAATATTTCCATCCAGAGGTACTTGTCTTTATTTCGTTGTCAAAATGTCTTATGATGATATTGACTATTTCGATGGCATGTACTATTCGGTCATACGGATTTGTTCGATTAAAAAAAAAATAAAGCTTTATGATGCGTTTCACTGTGACAGCACTAAAACATCAGTCTGATTCACATTGAGGTTGAGACATGAATCCACATTTAGAACGATATATTCCACTGGAAATCATCTCACAGCAAATCGATCTAAAAATACTATTCTCTCAATTGCTCGCTCTAATTCACACACTGACTCTCTCGATGCCTAGTTCACTATGCTCTCGAAATCGATGTCTTACCGTCTTTTTCCAAAATTCACTCACTCGTCAATGGCTTGAAAACAGTTCAAACTTGTTCACCTAACCCAATATCACAAAATCACAACACACACACACTAACTCTGATTTCATGACTTGACATTTCTCCCCTCTTCTTTTTCCATATGCTACTTAATAGTAGAAATGATGTAAATATGACCAGAACTTGAAATTATTCACGTCTAGGATAAAATAATTACAATTCTATCATGGGAAAAATGTAACCATTCTTAATTCCTCTGGACAGCCATAAATTATCCAGCTGCTATTAATATAATATACATTAATATATACAAACTTGGAGTCACGCTTACAGACACCCTCTCCATGGACAAACATGTCACGTATATATGCAGATCAGCATATAACGAAATTAGAAAAATCAGCACCATTAGAAACCTCCTATCCTTTGATGCCACAAAAACTCTCGTCTCTTCACTCATTCTTTCAAAATTTGACTACTGTAACACTCTTCTCGTAGCCATTCCTCAACACCACATAGACAAACTTCAGAAGACACAGAACTCAGCATGCAGACTCATTTTTAAATCAAAGAAACATGACAACATTCAACCACAAATGCGGCAACTCCACTGGCTTCCAATATCCTCTCGCATCAAGTACAAGTCTGCCAATCTATGCGACAACTCGTTCACTGACCCTCACTTTCCTGTCTATCTGTCTGAACTGTTGCTTCCTTACATCCCCACAAGACAACTACACTATTCCATTGACAATAGAACCTTCTCAATCCCAATAACCAAAACTAAGACCATCGGTAAACGCTCCTTCTACTTCTATGTGCCCACGTTTTTGAACCAGCTCCCCTTACATATCCGTCATTGTGAAACTTCATCCACTTCCAAAAAGTCCCTTAAAACCCATCTGTTTAGATCCGCCTGTGACCTGTGATGCACCCTCCTTGCCCTGCCTCATTTTCTGTCTCGGGTTGATCCTGTAGTACAGGCCAAAACGTGCCAAAGTGTCCTCGTTCTATAGCCATTTTCATTGTTTCTATAGAATAGTAGTTACTATCCTAGTGTCTCATTTTTATTTTACTTTGTTTACATGTTTTTAATAATTGTAAAGCGCTTAGAGCTTTAAGTTAAGCGCTATATAAAAATACCTAAATAAATAAATAAAATATATGAGGGCGGGATATTTTGCTTTTCAGACGCTTGTCTGAAAGCTTGCAAATGTTTCCACCAGTTTAAAACTCCCCTGTAAAATATCACGTGTTTCACAATACTTCACACAAAGTCCACACCCACAAGCAAACGGTATATCATGTTACCAAAAGAAGTCTGTACACACTGCTTTATCCAACTGTTCACATAAATTATCCACACAACAATTATAAGACTCACCACCAACGCATGGAAAACACTCACCTCCACAACACAATCAAATTGTTCAACAACAAAATGTGTATGTCCTAACCCAATATAACATAATCCATCAACATCAACTCTCTCCACTATCCCCACAACAGGAAAAAAGCTCACCTACTCCATGGACTCTCTGTAACTAAATTTAAACTAAAGCCCCAACAATGCTGTCTAAGTCAAAATTAAACTCAACAACACCACGGTTCTCAAGCCTTGTGTCCCACACTACACTATTCCACGATTGGACTGTGACCCTCATAGCTCCACGTGAAGTTAATTTCAATGAATTCAACCTTGTTGAATTGATGTCCCCGTCTTTGGACTGCCCTTGACTGACCACAACTTCGTGATACCCGTAATCTGCCCAGGTCCTAATAAATTCTGCCTTGTCACAATGATCATCATAGTTGAGCAGAAACAAAGATTTTACATTATCAGACATATTAATTTTAGACAAATAAATCGTTGTGAATTGATATTTCCAGCGTCCCTAAAAGGGAACACTTGAAAGTCTTTGCCACTAAGTCGACCAGTGTCAGCATCTGTGAAATATTCACAAATATTAGATTTCATTTTGTGAGCAGTCAAAAACTGCAATCGCCCCTCCTCCTCAAAACATAACAACTCGCCTGAGCCTGACTCAGAAGTGAAATCAATCAAGGGCTCATCCTGACGACCTCTCGTGTTCGCATCTCCGGTCAAGGTTACGGTTTTCACTTCAAATTATCCCTCTTGTAAATATTCAAAAGTCATATCTAGTTCATCATTAATGGATGAAGCTTTAATAACACTTGGGAATTGATATTTCCAGCTCAGTTTATACCAATCAGCCACTAAGCACCAACGTGCTTTAGTGTATTTACTATATAAAGCTTAGTATGACTATGTTTGTTTTTAGCATATGTGTAGATTAGTCCGTTAATCCATATGAAACAACCAAAGTTAACATGGTTATTTCTCTTGGCCTATAAATGGTTCTTGGAAATCATGATAAAAATCCCTACATCCCAAAAACTGTACTTTAGAGATTAAAACATAAAACATAATACGTAAAAGGTAAAAAAAATAATATTTTCAAATAATTTTCAAATACTTTCAAGTATTGTTGTTAATGTTTTTTTTTTGTGCACTCATTTTTAATAAGCCTTTATTTAGAGTGGTGTGCTCTCAAACATAATTTAAATTAAGGTTTTTCGGTTGGGTTTTCAATGTCCACCGCATTAAAAAAATAATAATAATTATATGTACCTAAAAAATAGTAGCAAGAATTACCACATAGGTTAAGGGCGTTAAAGCATTTTTTTGAGTCTGATGTAAGAACTCTTAAAGTGACTTGGTATGTGTAAAGCATTAACTCATGAGTGAGCCATAAACCGTGTGGAATATTATTTGTTGTTTGTTGTATTAATTATAAACATTATAATAACAAAATAAAATTTATTATTACTATTTTTTTTTAAAAATACAATTGAATTTTAATGGAAATTTATATAAACTAATTTATACATCAGCATTGAAGATAAAATTAATACAAAAATGTAAATATATAAAAATTCAACATTATAATTATAATATGGGCCTTAAAAAAAGCTTTTTTTTTTTTTTTTTTTTTTAAAAAAATAAAAGCTTCAACATTATTTTTAAAGCTTAAACTTTTAAAATATTTGATATGTTTTTATTATTTTTTTTTTTTTTTTTATTTAAAAAAATAAAAGATTAAACATTATTTTTAAAGCTTAAACTTTTAAAATATTTGATATGTTTTTATTATAAAATTTAAATTATATAAGAACGAGTGTGGGATAAGTAAGTAAATACAGTAGAGTAACCCTGCAATAAAGGAATGACAGTTAAAATAGACGGAAAATATTGGAAGAAATTAGATTTTTTATATATTTAAAAAACTAATTACAAACTATATGTAACATTTATAAATAATTAAATAAATAAATTCCATCTAACACTAATACAAATATTTATTAAATGAAATTTCACAAGATACGTACATACATAACAATTACATATAAAACTAATAAAATGTATCACTAAAAAACGCTTTCATAAAAGATAATAAAAATAATTTATAGTAGTCAGGAATAAAGGATTTAGTTTTAATATTGCCTTTACTCAACATTTTTCATCCTGTAGGTCACCATCAACATCAACATTTTCATAATAAACGTTGGCAGTGACATCTGCATTTTGATAATGACTTTTTCTCATTTCAATATTCGGTTCAAGGTATGGATAATTGTCGTTGGCAATTTTAGGTTTATTGACATAACTCACATCTGGAAAAAAAAAAATTTTTTGATTTGTTTTTAAAGAATATTCTTAAACGTTAAAATTTAAAAAAAAATACATTTTTAAAAATCTGAATATTTAATAATTTTGAAATTAATTATCATTTTTTACACTGTAAACAAATAGTAATGTCATTAAATAAAATCAATCATTTTTTTACTAATATTATTTAAAATTAGCCTGAAAAAATGATATATGAAGGCAGACAGACAGACAGACCGACTGACAGACAGAGAGAATGACAGACCGATATACCAATAGACCGATAGAAATATAGAAAGACAGACAGGCAGTCAGGCAGACAGACAGACAGACAGACAGACAGAAAGACAGACAGACAGACAGACAGACAGACAGACAGACAGACAGACAGACTGACAGACAGATAGATAGACAGATAGATTAGATAGATAGATTAGATAGATAGATAGATTAGATAGATAGATTAGATAGATAGATTAGATAGATAGATTAGATAGATAGATAGATAGATTAGATAGATAGATTAGATAGATTAGATTAGATAGATAGATAGATAGATAGATAGATAGATAATTAGATAGATAGATAGATTAGATTGATAGATTAGATAGATTAGATAGTTTAGATAGATTAGATTAGATAGATTAGATTAGATAGATAGACAGACAGACAGACAGACAGATAGATAGACAGACAGACAGACAGACAGACAGACAGACAGACAGATAGATAGACAGACAGACAGACAGATAGATAGACAGATAGACAGATTAGATAGATAGATTAGATAGATAGATTAGATAGATTAGATTAGATAGATAGATAGATAGATTTGATTGATAGATTAGATAGATTAGATAGTTTAGATAGATTAGATTAGATAGATAGATAGAAAGACAGACAGACAGACAGAATGAACGAGAGACTGACAGGCAGACAGACAGACAGACAGACAGACAGAAAGATAGACAGATAGACAGATAGACA